GGATGAAATCAGGTGTTACTGAATGGCGGTGCATGTTTGAGGGGCTGAATGGCCTACTTTTGGCTACTAATTTGTTTCATAAGTTCATATGGAAACAAACGTTAAAATCCAGAGATCACACACAAATCATGCCCTTTGTACCAAAGGTAGCGTTTGACCGAATGAAACATCAAAGGATGTGCAGTAAAACTGAAGACAATGGGGATGGAAACTCTCTACTGGTTCAATTCTTATCTAGCAGAACAGAAGGTGTTTGTGGTAGTCAGAGGCTAATCATCTCAGTCCCAATACGTAACCTGAGGACATCCTCAGAGGAACATCCTAGGCCTAACCATCTTCAGCTGCTTCATCAACAAGCTTCCCTCTATCATAAGGTCAGAAGTGGGGATGTTCACCGATGATTGCACAATGTTCAGCACCATTTGTGACTCCTCAGATACTGAAGCAGTCTGTGTTCAAATGCAGCAAGATCTGGACAATATCCAGGCTTGGGCTGACAAGTAGCATGTAATATCCGTTGAACACAAGTGCCAGGCAATGATGTTCTCTGATAAGAGAGAATCTAACTATCGCCCCTTGACAAGCAATAATATTACCGTTGCTGAATCTCCCACCATCAGTATTTTGCAGGTTATCATTGATCAGGAACAGATCTGGAATAGTCATATAAATACTGTGGCTGGGGAATGGGGAGTGGGGAGGGCTAGGAATCCTGCAGCAAGTAACTCACCTCCTGACTCCCCACAGTCTGTCCACCATCTACAAGGCACACGTCAGGAGTGTGATGGAATATTCCCCACTTGCCTGAATGGGTGCAGCTCTAACAACACTCAAGAAGTTCGACACCATCCAGGACAAAGCAGCCTTTGTGTGCATAAGTGGCTCAAATGAGGGATCGAACTGTGACGCATTGTGGTCACTCTGGGTCAGGATGTGAGGGTTTCAGAGAGGAGAAAGTGCAAGGGAGCTTTGCAAGACCAGTACAGGGGTGAGGGTCTTCAGGTAAGTTTGGAGACTCGATCAGCTGGTATTGTTCTCCTTTGAGCAGGGAAGATTAGCAGGAGATTTGATTTGGGTAAGTTTGAGGCAATTGGCAAAAGAGCCAGATTGAACCTCATTGGAGATGAGCGCTTGTGATCAGGAGCAGGCTGTCCGAAAGGTTAACAGAACCAGCTTCAATCGTAACGTTCAAAAAAGAATTGGTTAAATACGGGAGGTTCGGATATAAAGTGGTAGTTCCATTCTCATGCGATCTCACGTTATAAGTTACACCGTTTAAACTAATGGGGCCAGAATCACCGTACAGCTGATACGGGTAAGGAAAGTTCATGTTCTACAAATAGTGGTCTAAATTCTTCAATCGCATTAAAGTCAATTTGGGTTGAAGAAACGCACGTTATCGCAGAACTGACTGTACTTGGCTGACTGTGAAGTTGTGAGGTGGTGCTAATTGGATAACTCTTTGAAATGGCCGGCAGTCCCACGATGGGCCAAGTGGCCTCCTGTGTGCTCTATGGGTGTGTGATTCTCTATCCACACAAAGTGCTTTGGAATGTTTCTGAAGGACCTGACTGACTTGGGGCATTATAAAAATACCTTCCTTTCTATCTTTTAATGGCAAACAATTGAACTGGAAAAGTTTCTGTCTCCAAGACTGCCAGAGCAGGAGACAAGAAAAACAGAATAAAATTGCCCCACAAATTCCACCAACATATTTTGTTTGGAAGATGACTTAATCTTTTTCCCTCTGCTTAGAGGTAGTTTCTAGGGTGGTTTCAGCTGATGCAGGCAACTCAGTTTTACCAATATTGGTGTAAAATGTACACAGTTCAAAGTGAGATTATGTTGACACCAAAGTTAATGGCACATTAGAAATGAATACCTGGGACTGCAGGCCTAAAACTGCATTTGGAGTTGGATCTCAGGCCTTTTTAAATGATAGGAATCCTCTGGCTTCTGTTGTTTTGCTAGGGTCAGCGTGACCTGACGCTTTTAATAAGGACCCCCTGCCTTGCTCCCACTACTTCTGTAATTCCCCCTTTCCGCCTCCCTTCAACCCACCAAGATCTGAGCACTTCCTAGTTCGGCTGATTTATACATCAGCCGTTGTTTGTTTGGTAGCACCCTCATCTCGGAGTCAGCTGCATCTCTATCAAAGTGGAAACATTTTAATGGACTCATAGAATCACAGAGTTGTAGAGATGTACAGCACGGAAACAGAGCCTTTGGTCCAACTCATCCATGCTGACCAGATATCCTAAACGGATTTATTCCCATTTGCCAGTTTTTGGCCCATATCTCTCTAAACCCTTCCTATTCATGTACCCATCCCAATGCCTTTTAAATGTAGCAATTGTACCAGCCTCCACCACTTCCTCTGGCAGCTCATTCCATACACACACCACCCACTGCATGAAAAAGTTGCCTCTTAGGTCCCTGTTAATTCTTACTCCTCTCACCTTAAACCTATGCCCTCTGGTTTTGGACTCCCCTACCCCAGGGAAAGACCTTCGCTATTCAGCCTATCCATGCCCCTCATGATTCTATAAACCTCTATAAGATCAACTCTCAGTCTCCAACATTCCAGGGAAAATAGCCCCAGCCTATTCAGCCTCTCCCTATAGCTCAAAGCCTCCAACCCTGGCAACATCCTTGTTAATCTTTACTGAACCCTTTCAAGGTTAACAATCTATAGCAGGGAGACCAGAAATGAATGCAGTATTCCAAAAAGTGGCCTTGCCAATGTAGGAAAGAAATATGGACAGATGGAGAGATGTGTGAGGGGATTCCAGGCTTTAGGACCTCGATGACTAAAGGTGTGGTAGCAAAAAGTGGGGTAAAGGCAATAGCAGTTGTCCAAAGGTCAAATGATTACAGAGATATCAGGGGATTGTTTTAACTGTACCAGCCTCCTTCAGATGTATCTCGGCCTGAAATGTCAACTTTCCTGCTCCTCTGATGCTGCCTGGCCTATTGTGTTCCTCCAGCTCCACACTGTGTTATGTCTGACTCCAGAATCGGCAGTTCCTACAATCTCTGGGCTAGTTCTGCTATAACACGTGTTTCGTTAACGCGAATTGGCTGTAACGTGATTGATGAATAGTCGACACAGTTTGGATAACGTGAACTTTCTGCTGTACAGGTATAGTGATTTTCTACAGTGATTTCCCTACAACACAATTTTCTATGGTGATTTTCTATAGCGCGAGGTCACACAAGAACGCAACTATCGGGTTTTGGAGAACTACCTGTATCTGTCAAGATGCCCCTTAAATGTTGCTATTGTATCCAGCTCCACCACTTCCTCTGGCAGCACATTCCTGGCACTTACCACTCTCTGTGTAAAAAACCTCCCTCTCACATCTCCTTTAAACAGAAGTTGCTGGAAAAGCTCAGCAGATCTGGCAGCATCTGTGAACTGAGGAAGGGCCAGCAGACCCGAAACATTAACTCTGTTTTTTCCTTCGCAGATGCTGCCAGACCTGCTGAGCTTTTCCAGCAACTTCTGTTTTTGTTCCTTTTGCCTTAAACCTAGGTTCCCTAATAATTGGTATTTCTGGGAAAAACTATTCATTCTAGCCATGCTTCTTATAATACTGTAAACTTCTAACAGGTCACACCTCAGCCTCTGACGTTCAAGTGAAAACAAACCGTGTTTGTCCAATCTCTCCTCATAATACCTTCTAAACCAGGCAACATCCAGTAAACCTATTCCGTACCCTCTCCAAAGCCTCCACGTCCTTCTGGTAGTTGGAAACCAGAGCTGTATGCAATAATCCAAATGTTGCCTAACTAAAGTTCTCTACAGCTGCAACATGACTTGTCAAATCTTGTACTCTCTGCTGCAACTGATGAAGGCAAGTGTGCCATATACCTTCTTGATGACCTTATCCAATTGTGATGCTACTTTCAGGGAACTGTGGACCTAGATCCCTCTGTATGTTGACGCTATTAAGGATTCTTCCATTTACTCTTTACCTACCTCCTAGATCAGATCTTCCAAATTGCATCATCTCACGTTTTTTCTGGATTAATTTCCATCAGTCATTTCCCCTCCCAAGTCTCCAGCCTATCTATATCCTGCTGTATCCTATGGCAATCCTCGTCACTATCTCTAGCTCCCCCAGTCTTTGTGTCATCCACAAATTTACTAATTAAACCACCCATATTTTCCTCCAAATCATTTATATATATTACACACAACCGAAGTCCCAGTACTGATAGCTGCGGAACACCCACTGGTCGAAGATTTCCAGTCAGAAAAAAATACTCTTTCACTGCTACTGTCTGTCTTCTATGACCAAGCCAGCTCTGTATCCATCTGACCAGCTCATTGCAGATCCCATGTCCTTTGTATCAGCCTGCCATGAGGGACCATGTCAAAGGCCTTGCTAAAGTCCATATAGACAACATCCGCCACCCTGCCCTCATCAATCATCTTTGTCACTTCCTCAAAAATGCAATCAAGTTTGTGAGACACAACCATTCCTGCACAAAGCCATGCAGCCCATAGCTAATAAGTCCATACTTTTCCAGATGTGAATAAAGTCTGTCCTGAAAAATCTTTTCCAATCATTTCCCTACCACTGACATAATTTCCCGGATTACTTCTACTGCCTTTTTTAAACAAAAGAACAACGTTGGCTAGTCCCCAGTAGTCTGGGACCTAAATGTTCTCAATTACACTGTTTGACACACTTCTACTGATTTAAAATCTTGATTATTGATCGTTTGATTGATTTTGTCTTTACTTCACAATGCCTGTAAAATGAAGGAGCATAATTGAGGTTTAAATTTGATAGCATGGTACTCACTGAACAAGAGCCATCTGGACAAAACAGGGTCAGCACCCATATCTTCCCCCATGCTCTCAATTTCAGCAATTATACCTTCTCAAATTCAGAGATTAAGTTAACTCTGTCTTTAAATAGTGATATTATTACAACACCTCCTTTGTTTTCTGTGCATGCAACAGATTGAGAAGTTAGATGTAAACTCACCTTCGTCTGGGCTGTGTAACTTTGCGAAGGCAGACTCACTTTCTGGAGTGACAGAGCAGCTGAGGAAGCTGCGTGACTGGAGTAATAGCAGCTAAAAATACACCAGGCCAACAGTGAGTGAGGGGGAAGGGCCTGTGAGATTATACCAGTCCTGGTCCTTGGATCCCTGGAATGACTCAACTAAATCAACTCTCTCTCCCCCACAACGCGCAGCTCTCTATTTTTGTTTCGGAATGCTCACTTGCGTTTAAGTGACATGAAGAGTCATGTTGCAGGCACTAATGGTAGTGTTGGCAGGGCTAAGCAGACTTGCATACTTACACAGACACTCACACAGACACACGCACACACACAGACACACGCACACACACACATGCACACACACACACACGCATACACACACACACACAAATGCGCACACACACACACACACGCACACACACACACACACACACGCGCACACACACACGCACACACACACACATATACACACATACACACACACACGCACACACACACACACACACGCACACACATACACACACGCACACACTCATGCACGCACACAC